ATTGTTTTCAGTTATAAAAAAGAGCTTAATTAGTAAGCTTAACAATGAAAGTTCAAAGAAATTGTTGATTGCACATACAAGTCAAAGGCCGCTTGCGTTATTATTATCCAAGAAGAAAGGACGCGTACACTCTATCTGTATATAAAGATTAATTAAAGGTAAAATCCATGTACACCAGAATCTCCGTAAGCTCAGCTTCTCTCTTCGATCTGTATTTCCCCGTCCATTATTTTTTGTTTCTTTTTTCTCTTTTGTTTATAAATTGCGTATTTGCAAAGAGAATATTAGAAGAGATGATGGAGTTTGAGCTTCGAGGAAATCAAACTACATAAATTAACAGACAGGAATCAGTTTCTATAGGTTTAAACAGATTGAAAACTTTTAGTTCATTTAAATTAATTAATTTCCTTCAAGGAAGTAAAATATGATTAAGTCATTGTACCAAAATAAGTAAGGAGAAATATGTACAATTCAAGCTTTTGAGTTAGCCTAAGTGGTGATGGAAGCAGGGCCGGTCCTGAGTTTTCTGGGGTCTGGAGAAAACTCTCAAAATGTGCCTTTTTTAATACAATAACATATATTAAAATAAATATTTAAAGAGGGTTGGAATCTAATCGACGCTGAGATACTTAGCCCTCATGTTCATATTATATTACTTGAAAGAAAAAAACATACCAGGGGCCATAATACCTAAGACGACCATCAAAAGCAAAATCATATACAATCACTCCAAGTAAAACTCTTTCTTGAAATTTCAACCTTTAAGAAATCGTCTTCTTACATTTTTTGAAGTAAAATTGTCAATTATATTATCATAATTCAAGTCTTCAACCTAATCTTTTTCGATGCATAAAATTGCTAATCTATTTAGCCTATCTTTAGTCATAGTGGTCCGCAAGTAAGATTTTAATAATTTTAGTTTTGAAATTTTTTCAGTTTCAAATTTTCATTTAAAACTCCGTATTGTTATTCTAGCAACAAAAAGAACTTTTGGACAACTTCCTGGAACAAGAGTAATATCCAAACTCCATATTGTTATCAGATAAGCTTTCATCATTTCTATATGAGGTGCTGTAGTCCATCTCGTCAAATTCCTGCAAAAGATCAACCATAATTTAAAATTAATGATTTGCAATCAACATCCAAAAGCATGCAAGGTTTTTTTTTTTTATTTTTTATTTTATTTTTTTTGACAAGAAACAATAGCGTGGTATTTCATTAATCAACACAAACAAATATAAGGGTGCCATTGGGTACATAGCTTCAATGACCAATAAATTGATCTGGAGTGAACTTACACAATTAGACAAATAAGAGTAAACCTCTAGTAGGCTACCATAAGCACAAAAAACAATCGCCAAGCGCACAATTGCCACCAGTATAGATCTATCACAATAAACGATAGATGCAACAAAGAAATACAGGCAGCCACATTGGTCATAGCTGAATAGTGAGGCCACATAAAGTTATCACAGTAGAGCGAGACAACATCAAGTCACCGTTGGCAGACGAGACTACATAATCATCGCACAAAGGCGAAGACCAATCTAGCCAAAACAACAACGCCACCACGGTGCACGTAAGGCGAGTGAAACATAAGTACACTACTCCGAGAAGGGATTCGCTGGTCAACTCATAATAGTGGGGGACGAGGCACTTAGGCCAAGGGCACCTACAAATTCACTGGACAACAAGATACCGGTCTCCACACATCGAACACCATAAGAGCTAGCCGTAGCAAGCAGCAGAGCCGCACAAGTTGAGACGTACAAGACGAGTTGCCAGATCAAGCCGAAACGCACAAGCCAAGCCACCAAATCTGAGTACACGTGTCAGTGCAACCACAAAAACTAGGGGAGGAAGGTGACACCACCTTAGAAACGAGCTGATGATGATGGATCTAACCCACCTGTAGCCACGAATCCAGCCCACACTAAGAAATCGAGCACCAAATCAAAGAAGAAATCTTGAAAGGCATGGCCCGAATCAAAGTATAAGACTTAAAATCCTTGGAAAGTTGCTCACAAAATGGTGGGAGAGAAGCACGAGAGGGGATATGAGGTAAGTAAAGGCCAGGAATGAGTGGTTGGCGAGAGGTCAGGGGGAGAGAAGGACGTGGATGGCGAAGGGGGAGAAGGATGGGATGGGGAAAAAAGGGAAAGAGGAAGGGAGGATGGGCTAGGAGGAGAAAGAGAGAAGTTTCCACCAACCCCAGCCATAGCTAGAGGCTGGCGGCTAGGGTTTTGGTGAGAGAGATAGAGCTTTTGGAGAGAATGGGATATTTAAGAGTAGCTGCTAGAGTTTGATGATGTAAGGTTTATGAGTCATATAGAACCAAAGGAATACATAATATGTAAAACAAAATATAATATCACCTTGGATTTTGTTTTCGCAAATGGGGTCAAGCAAGGATTCAAATCCTTCAGGAAATCTGGTTAACAGGGCTGGCTGGATCACCAAAGCTGAACTCTTGCTTGAGAAAAAAATTTAATTGAGCGTGTGGAGTGTGGGGAGTGTGGGGGTTATTATAGAAAAGTAAGTGGGGGTGTATTAAGATAAATTTTGATTGAAAGCAAATATGGGATGCATTAAGTGTGTAAGATGTATTCAACAATATGTGGGGTGTTAACATAAGAATTCTTCCTTCAAAAGAGGGCGTGGGTTCAAATCCCACTTCTGACATTTACCACTTAGTACTACAATCTAGTGATATTCCTTTTCACTTGTAAGTGAGAGGTCTTAGGTTCGATTCTCACCGAAGGTGAATTTGAACCACATTATTGCTAGTCCATTGTGAGGCTAAGCCCACTCCCTCATTTTTAGTATAGATAATATCATTTGTTCAAATTTAAATTAAAGAATAAAAATAAAAAAATAAAAAAATAAAAATAAAAACATAACAAGCCTTCAAATAATAACATAGACAAAAGCCAAATGACACTGTTAAAAAAATATAAAAGAAATAAGATTTCAATTAACAAGGAAAGAAAAATAAAAAGGTAAATTACAAAAAAACTACCTCAACTATTCGTCTCACAACACTATCATACCTCATCTTTTAAAATTGACAATGTCATACCTTATCTTACGAATTTGGTCCAATGTCAGACCTCCGTCAATTTTTCTGTTAATTTCTCTGTTAAGTGCTAACGTGGCTAGAGACAGGGCCCACTCACTAATCCAACTGGATTAAAAATTAATTAAATATTAAAAAATTAAAAATAAAAATATTTTTATATAAAATTGTGGGATCCACCCTCTCTCGCCACTCTCTTTCATCTCTTTCTCTCTCTTGCCTTCTCTCTTCTCTCTCTCTGAGCACCTACATCCCCAAAATCCCAGAACCCCCTCCCTTTTTTCCCTCTGCAATTCTCCCCCGCAGCCCTCAACAACATTCACCCCCAACCCCCACATTTTCCCGTCCTCTACCTTTGTCCCTCTTTCTGTTCCAGAACTCCCTCCATTTCGAAGAACTTCGACCCAAACCCTAACCCTAATTCCCCAATTTCAAACAGAAATCCCCACTCTCATACTCTCTGTCTCTCCCAAGTCCTCCATTTTCTTCAACCCCTTCGAAAGCTGGTTCCATAAACCCCCTAAACCCCTTCCTGCCCATCAACTTCATCTCCCTCACCGACTCATTTTTCCACCTCCCAATCCCTTCCCAATTTCTCCTCCTTCAGCCTCTCTAACCTCTTCAACGGCCCCCGAAACCTGACCCGAAAAACCCATCCGAACCCGAGCAAGAAAAGCCCGGACACTATACCCAGATGCTGGAGTGGTTCTTCTGGGAATGCGAGAACGACTCGGATTACAGGCACACCCTGGAAGTGGAGAAGATTCTAAACGAAGACTCAATTTTTGAAAAGAAGGAGAACCCAACTGAGGAGGAGCTTCGGGAGAACTAGAGGTTTTGAAGGAGTTCCGGGAGAGCCCGGTGGTGAAGTTTCTAGCTCAGGTAGAGACTTAGTGGGGACAGTAGATAAAAAGCAGAGAAAAAGAACAGGCAGTGCGAGGACTGTGGGAGATCGGAGCCTTATTAGAGAGGCGGCGGTGCGTGGTGCTCATAGAGTGACCCCGGTGCAGGTTAGCAAATACAACCGTCGTATTGGATTCGCTGTGAGAGGGAAAAGGTTTCGGTCGAGTTTTTGGAGATGATGGTGAAAATACGAGACTGTCCTCCAAAGCAAAGGTGTGGGGGAAACTCCCTCAGGTGTAGACTCTGTATCGAGAGAGAGGAGATAATTAGACTTTGGGATTTTGGGGATGCAGGTGCCCAGAGAGAGTGAGAAGAGAGAGAGGCGAGGGAGAGGTGAGAGAGAGGGCAGATCCCACAATTTTATATAAATAATGATTTTATTTTTAATTTTTTTAATATTTAATGATTAAAAATATTTTTAATTAATTTTTAATCCAGTTGGATTAGTGAGTGGGCACGTCTCTAGGCATGTCAGCACTTAACAAAGAAATTAATAGAAAAACTGACGGATGTCTGACATTGGACCAAATTCGTAAGATGATGTATGACATTGTCAATTTTAAAAGATGAGATATGATAGTGTTGTGAGACCAATAGTTAAGGTAGTTTTTTGTCATTTATCCAAAAAAAAAGATGTAACCTAATTTTATCCTGTTTGTTAACTCTAACAAAGGTGAAGATCTCCATTTGGTTCATTTTTGTCTAGCCAGGAAAGGTTTACTTGATGTGACTACAAATTATTTTACAATTATCACGCGCATAGTACTCGTATAGGAGAAGTATAGGAGACCTTTTTCAATCCCTGCTTCCATTTTAGAGCGAAAACTTTCGCATCTCTTACGATGGTATGTACTACACACGGTAGTTTCCAGTTATAAAAAAGGAGCTTGCATACTTTGCTTAACAATGAAAGTCCAAAGAAATTGCTTATTGCACACATACACGTCGAAGGCCGCGTCAATTATTATTATCCTAGAAAAAAGGCCGCGTCCACTCAATCTTTATATAAAGACTAATTAAGGGTAAAATCCATGTACACCAGATTCTCCGTAAGCTCTCTGCTTCTCTCTTCAGTAGTTCCCCGTTCATTATTTTTCGTTTTTTTTTTTTCTCTTTGATTTATAAATTGTGTATTTGCAAAGAGAATATTAGAGGAGAGGATGGATTTTGAGCTTCAAGGAAAACCACATTCCAAAGGATCTGCAGGCTCTAGCGGATCGCATGTGATAAACATTCATGACGAGCCCAGGCACACCAGATTTCTTAGCTTATCTAATTCTGTGGATTACAGTAGTTATTACAAGCTAAGGCCACGGGAGGTAATAGTGCTGTGGATTACAGTAGTTATTTTTCTTTTGCAAAATACTCAGAAACTTTGGCATGCTAGCGTTTGAATATATATATGTGTGCTCAACTATCTTAGAAAGGTTGTTCAACGGGCTTGATTTTACGCGTAATCTTTTCGATGTGTGTGTATGCGGTTGATTAGGGTGCTAGCCTACTAGTGTTGATTTGGGGATTATAAGAAAAAGTTTCTAATGAATGCTTTATTAATATTATTGTGCAACTAATATGGAATCAAATTTTAGTGGGAGTCCAAGACTGGCCTCCTCATCTAACATTTTCTAATCAATTCCTTACTTAGGCTCTATGGAGAGGCAAACAAGGTTTTATTCTAATGCTTGCATACTTGTGCAAATTACATACGAGCAAAGCTAGACGAAGACAGTCTCTAATACATATGAATCCCACATACATTGATAGAGTCCACGAGGGTGCCAACTATTATGCTATTTTGTCTGTACAATTAGTATTGTTAATAACACATATAAGAGCTGGGGTAATTCATTTCTGTCCAAACGTCTATAGGAGGCCAAGGACATTAGCAAGGACATTATATCCAGTTTGCAGAAACAAGTCGATGATAATAGCAAGCCCAGGCAGGACACAAAGGTAGTGATCAAGACTCAAAACTCATAACTATATATAGTTAACCGACATTTTCCCTTGAGCTATTTCTTACTATGTATATCTCTGATTATATAATTGACCTTTCACTAAAATTTTCCTTTTGTAGTCTACAAATTCAGAGAAGTGGATCGTGTTCTTCATCGCTAACCTTGGCATAGAGACCGCTTCAGCTGTTTTTGATCAGCTTTCCTCTTTAAGTCATGCCCACTTTGCACTCATTGGTATGCTGCTGGCTATGCTAGCCGTTCTCATTTGCATTTTGGAGCTGATTCTCAAGGGTAAAGAGGAAAGAGTTGAGTTAAGGGCGTGGGGAATGATATGGTGGTTCTATCATCCATATCCTTCTACGAGGCTTTTTGGTAGTTTCCCTGACATTTGTGGACTAGGTCTTTCTGTCTCTCAGTGCATTTGCTCCGCGGTTCAGTACAATTACCTCCATCGGCATGCTAATAATCCTATCAAACTATCCATTTTCCCTTTCATCTTTCTTTTATTTTTGGCTATTCGAAGGTGTTGTAAATAAAATTTAGGAAAGGATAGTGTTATTCACACACTCTTGTTATTTTTTATCATCGATCTTTTTCAATTTATTCGATCTGGCGGTCAAAAATTGAGAGAGAGATATGAGAAGCAAAAATGAGTGTTAATTTTTTTTTTTACCATTGATCTTTTTCAATTCATTCAATTTGAGAGATATATAAAAAACAAAAATGAATGTGTTGATAACACTATCCTTTACGAAAATATATATACAAGAATATCATCAACATTGTAATTGCATTACTTATCAATGGAGTGCATGGGTGTTCGTGTATATAAATATTTTCCAAAAGATTACCTCCACAAACTTCTCCCTGAACATGGAAACTGTTTCGCGCTAACCATCAATAGAGTACTAAAGGAGTTTTAGATTTTCTTTTCTTTTTTTTTAGTTATTTATTTTTTTTCGAAGGGTGCGAGTTTCATTACCAACAGATAACACATACAAACAAAGAGGCTCAGACACAAAAATTAAGCACAAAAATAAAACAGGACCTTAAACTTAAAAAACAGTGCCCAAAATCAGCAAAGAGCCCAGTACAAAAACTAAACAAACCAAAAAACCTAAGCAATTGACACCCCTGCCATCACCATTGTACCAGAGATCCACCACCACACTGCAAACCAAACTAAGACCTATGAAGGAGAAAACACGTAGCTCTATCATCCTCGAACCAGCACCATATGATCCGCTACCACAAAACGAAAGATACCAATGGGGAAGCCAATGGGAAAACCATAAGCATCATTCCCAATAAAGACACAAAAGTAGAAGGAAGTGGTGTAAACACCCGAGCCGGAGCTCTACAAACCTTCCGGAAAATACGCGTCAAAGCATGGTTGGGAGATAGTCAGATCGAGATTGGTGTGAAAACAAGTGGGGATGGATCGAGTTAGGGGATGAGAAAAAGGAAGAAATGAAAACAGAGAGATAACCAAAGTGGAAAGAACTAGGAGAAGTGGGAGGAAATCAGTTGTCAGAAACTAAGAGGAAGGGGACGAAGGACAAGTAATTTGAAAGTCAGAGTGGGAACAAGGTGGAGATCAGAGTTTAGGACCCGCAAGGTAAAACGAAAGCAAACAGGATGGAGGATTTGTAAGTATAGCAGACGATACAAAAACAAAAAGAAAGAAAACGAACAAGAGGTTGCCGTTGGATCAGGAAAGCCTACACACAAACAGTGGGAAAAGCCCTCAAGGAGAGAGAAGAACTCTCACCAAAACGGGAAAGAAGTGTATACAAATCTAGGTTTTTTTTCAAGGTGTTTTAGTTTGACTAGTTTTATGTAAGCCCTATCTTTGATTAGAAATAGTCAAACTGTCATATTAGTTTTTTTAATTTTCGAACTTAAATATGTTGTATTATTGATTCTTTTCACTATCATGGTCTTTTTTTCGATTAAATCCATGAGTATATTAGGAGCTTCAACTTCAAACTTCAAAAAACAATAAAAAAAAAGCTTAAAAAATGAAAATTTATAATTACTCTATACTGAAAGTGAGGTGAAAAAACATTATTTATTAACAATGTTTTTATGAAATTGCTCTTCATTTTTCTGATCAAACCTACTTTAATTTTGATGTTAAACAGCGAATTTACGAATTCGCCTTTAGTTGGCTATTGACTGGTATTGCTGCCACGTTTTAAAAGAGATGGCGTGGTGGTGCCACGTTCTAAAGGGATGGATATCTGAAAGAGCAACTCCACCCCTCCCAATTGTAAAGAGCAACTCCACCAAAACCAACAAAATGAGCTCCACCCCTCCCCAAACAAGTCGGCCTATGGTGAAAAGCAGGAGGTTTGGCTGCTCACTCGGGCCAAAATCACTCAACCCGCTGCCTAAGGCAGTCTGACGTCGAGGTGACGTCACCTACGTTTTAATTTTTTTGCTTCAAGCATGTGGGCGCGAGTTGTCCAACAAAAATTTAGGCAGCGGGCTTGCGCTTGCAGCAATTTATGATTTTGGACCATTGGATTTCCCAAATCCGATGCTCCATTTTTTATCCTGACTTTAAAAGTTCAAAAAGAAAAAAAATTTGTGACAGACTTGTTCTCCACATGGCATAACTTAGGACTCTTGGATAGCAAAAAAAAGTCATCCAAGTATTATGGTCCCATGAATATTTTTGGTATAATTCTGTTCTCCATCCAATAGATGACACATCTTGGCTAACTGGACGCCTACACATAGCGTGAAAGCCCTCTTCCATAGGTTTGGCACATCTCCCTATAAATGCCTCATTTCCGCCAATTTCGCATAAGCTTTTGCTACGCAATTAAGCCCTAAAGTCTCTCTCTTTTTAGCCTCCCTCAACAATCCGCGGGCACGTGACTTTGGCCATTGACCAAAGTTGCTTAATTGTTTTGTAGGTACAAATTCATCAAGATTGAAGACGCTGAATTTTTGCCACCATATATTATAGATTAAGCTACAACTTAAATAATAGAAAAGAAATGTATATGTGTGTGTGTGTGTGTGTGTGTATGTGTTCCAAGCAGGTAAAAACGTATCTACTAATGATCCTAGTGTTAAATGAAAATAATTTACCTACTCATTATGCACATAATATAGGTAAACTATTGCTAAAACATTCTAGATAAGTACATGAGTCGTCATTAGGCGATTGATTAATGGTGCGCGGGAGCTAGCCTATGTTCAACAGAAATTGCAATAACATTTGACTTGGACTCAAGAATTGAAAAGGATGCCATGGGAGAGAAAACAAAAGCTAAGAGCAGACACTAAAATACAAAATAGAAAGACTTAAGGTATTTGAAGGTTGACCTTGTAAAGGGACAAAGACCCTAGACCTAATATGGTGGACAGCAAGAAGGCTTTGTTTTTCTTTTACTTTTTATTTTTTTGTGTTTTGTTTTTTTGTTTTTTTCGTTTTTGTTTTTATGTTTGATAATATGAGAAGAAGAATAAACCCCAGGACCTAGTGAAATCTGGACAAGTGATACTATGTAAAAATATGACTCTTCGTATTGATATATGGTAAATATTATAATATATATGCATTTATAACTATCTTTATTTAAATGGGAATCCTGCACTAATTATACTAAAAAATTACATTTCTCTAATACATTACGAAGATCAATTTGAATTAATTAACTATAATCTAACAATATTTGCCCACTATGCACGTCCTATAACATTACAATGTTCCATCGACTTGGATACTAGTACAAACACAGCTGAGTTACTAACCTTGGTGGTGTAGTTCTCAAATCTCAAGCTCACATTGGACAGGGATTTGCTTAATTAAGGTCATTGTTGCAGTCCTATTAGATTAGGAATGTGATTATGTAAATCCTAATGTATCTAGGAATATCTTTGAATATTCCCTTTAGTAGTTAATATCTTATTAGAGTTGTAATCCTAAAAGGGTAAGGAATTAACCTTCCTTACTACTATAAATAAATGCACAATGGGATGAGATAACATACACCTCAGAATTACATCTCTCTCTTCTCTCTCTGCGCTAAAGAGAGTTTGATCTTTAATCAAGGAAGTATTACATTTTAATGATTCCTTTTATGATTAATTTATTATTTTATTGAATTGATCTACAGGCTATTGATTTAATTTAATCTTTTTGTGTTGAACGTGATACAACGCATTAGAGATGCAATTCTGGCTTTCGAAGAAGGATCTTCTACAACTTCAAAGGCTCAATTGTTTTCTACCAATCAGGTTCTTTTATTGCTATGTTCATATATTTTGTCAATATATATATTTGTTCATGCAATACGTAATTATGTTATGTGAAATTTGTGAGTCAAAGAATCAAAATAAAATAGAAGCAATTTTGGGTTTTTCCAAACCCTAACCGAAAAAAAAAGGGAACCAAGCAGCCTTTCTGTGCTTGATGTGGGCGAGAACCAAGCCCACTAGCTGGGCCTTCATTCTTTACTGGGCTTCGAGCCCTGATTCCCTTTGGGTTCTGAAAACCTTAAAACTAAAACTTGAAAAAAAAAAAAAAAAAAAAAACATTTGGGCCGGGCCACACCAAATAGCTCCAACCGAGCTACTGCCCAAAACCCCTTTCTTCAACTTGGGCCGCTGCTGCAAGCTCACCTGCAGATGATTTTTCTGGCCTTCCAGCATCGATTTCTGTTGAAAATCCCAGCCCAGGATGACCTGCAGCCATCCCCAGTATCCCCTCGTCTCCGACGATCGAATTTATAGAGATTCTAGATGAATCTCATCGTTTTGGACACCAATCAGGATATCACAATCCTTGTGATGTGTGTTGCTCGCTATCCTGCGAACATGCCTGAGAACAAGTTCCCCGATGCCTCTGGCGCTAGTGCTCACCCACACCGCCGCTGCCGGCGACGTCCAAACACCCAGCACCGGTGAGATGTGTTTGGATCAACCCATCGAAGCCTTGGGCCTCTCGGTGCACCCACTGTTTGGGCTTGGGAATTATTTTCCAGATCGGCCCTCCAATTTGGGCTTGCCTTGGATCAACTTATATGGGCCTGCAGCATCCCAATACCCCCATCTCAATCTGAGGCTGGTTGCTCTTTTGTTTCATCCCACAGCCAGCCTGATGATGGGCTGCTGTTGATCACAACCCAAAAAATTATCATTGGGTTATTTCCTAGCCTCGGCCCGCAACCGAGCTTTATCTGGGTTTGTTATTCATTTAATCCGAGCCCAATTTGGGCCTTATTTTTCTTGCGTGACCTGTAGCCAACATCAAATAATAAATGGGCCTAGTCAAATATTATTTTTTATTCTACAATCGACCCCAAATAATCCTGATCTATTGAATTAATTAAAGTAACCAGCAGTCTATTAATCTGACAAGTTCAAAATTATTGACCTGAAACTCACTTTTGGACATAACAATTCAATATTTTCTTTCTTTTCTTTGAACCGTTGACTATCTTTCATAATCCTGAAGTGCACACACTTGAGTTCCTGAAGCAACCCAAATCCACTACACGTAGTTGCATATTGTATTCTGTGATCTTACAGGTACATCCTTTTATGAACCGAAAGTTCATAACTAAACTAGAACATGTAGTTTCGAA